ATACTTAACTCGGCGGTGGGGCTATCACTTACAAGAATTGAAAAAGTTTGAGAGATGATATACTCCTCGTTCCATTGAATCAATTTAGCAGAGTCTCATCAAAGACATTATGTCAACTAGATAGTCCCATTTGATCAAATCAAAAGCTTTTTCCGAAGTCAGCCTTTAAAATGATAAGTTTTTTCTTCAAATTTGTGGCATCATCAACAATTTCGTTAGCATTAAAGTGTGATTATGGATATGACACCCATGAGTAAAAGCATATCGAGATTCCAAAATTACCAAACAAATAACTTTCTTCAATAGGTTCACCATCAACTTTTTTAGAACTTTATACATGCATCTCACTAGAGATACAAATTAAAAGCCGGATAAACATTGATGACTATCTACTTTAAGAATAAGAGATATGAAAGTGCAATTGTTAACTTTCACCATGTTTTCATTAGTATAAAATTCTAAGAGAAGCTGAATGAAATCAACCTCAATGTTAGTCCAAAATTCTTTAAGAAAGTCGCAGTTAAATCTGTTAGGCCCCAGTCTCTTGAAATTGTCATAATCCCACATAGTTTTTTTAACTTCTTCCTATATAAAGGTATATACCACTAGAGCTTGAGATTCCAAAATATTAAAGGACTTAAAATTAAATCTTCTATCTTAGATATATCGAAATAAACTAATTTGAATTGCTTGTTGATAAGACTGAAAACTATATTTCTAATATCTTCAAACCCCAACAAAGAATATATAATTTGATATTTGAATAATAAGATGTTGATATATTGAATGTGGTTAATAATTTTCACATTAAATAAAAAAGAGAATGTTAAACACTTTATAAATAAGAAAAGACGTAGATTTAATGTCTTAAAATCTTCGATTGATATGTCATTTTAAAATTTTATTTTATTTAATAAAATTTCATTATTATACATCATTTTAGAATGAATTACCCTTATTTTTCTAAAAAATAACTTAGATCTCACCATATACAAATATAAAAAACATCCAATTTTATTCATTTGAATTATCCATCAAATTAACTTGCACATAAATAAAAAATAATATATTAATAAATCTCATTAGAAAGAGAGAACAAACCTATAAAAGAATAACCTTTAAGTAGTTTTAGAAAATGTGAAATAAAATATAAAACCCAATAATGAAAATGTACATTAGAAATTATCACAAGCATTTTTTCTTCTCATGCCAAAAAAATTGGATCTCAAACATCGTACTTAATAATTTATTATTTTCACAAAAATTGTCGATAAAGACATAGAAAAGTGCCACGTGTACAAAAAATCCTTTTTGTTAAAAAAAGGTGAAACAACTTTATATTATTAGAAAATTCACAGCAAAATCACAACAACACAAAAGGAAGAGAAAAAAGAAGAAGAACAATAACGATTCAACTTCACCATAATCGCCAATCATCTTCACCGTCCTCTGTTGTTGTTCCTAGGTCTGTTTCTTTGATCCATTCTTTCTATTACGCATCAAAATATGTTTTTTTTTTTTAATTTTTGTTGAATTTTTTATTGGATCTGTTTTTTTTCACTCTTGTGATCTGAATCTTTGTTATAATTTAGGTTAAATTGATGAATTGATAGTAAAGTTTGGAAATTTGGAATGTTGTTTTGGTTGGTTGTGAATTATTGATTCTAAAAATGTTATCCGCTTCATGATTGATGATTTTTTTTTTCTTGTGGGGGTGGGAATAGCAAAATTTGTGAATTTCCCTAATTTTGTAATTGTTAGGGGTTTTGAGTTGTTGCAAAAATCTCGTCTTTATGTTTTTTAACCTGATTTATTGGATTTGATTAATGCTTTCTAGGGTTCACTTTTTGTTTTGTTTTGAAATTTTGTTCAAATTAGTGACTTAGGTCATTTAGAAATGGATAAAATGTTCTATGTAGATCAAATCTTGTTTCTTTATTTATTTTTGTTGGTGATGTTTGAATCCTCTTCGTTCCGATTTTAATTATGGTTTTCTTGAGATTAGTTTTACCTATCTTTGGATTCATGAATTAACTTTGAGTATTGATCCCTTATCTTTTTTTCTTCTTCTAAATTTCTAGGGGATTCGCGTGATTTTGGTTTTTAAATGTGAATTTGCATAGATGATTCATCTGTATATCTTTATTGTTTTTGAAGTTTGGTTCTAAATTATTTTTGTGAAAATGCAGGACAAATATAGCAACTAATAGAATGTCTCCATCAATGAAATCAAAATCCAAGTCTAAGGATAAGGCTTTGGCTAAGGCTGCTAAGGAACAACAAAAGATCTCTCCAAAGACTTCTGAATCTTCTAATGAGGAGAGCGGCATTCTCGTTAGTGCAGGCGATCCTATCTCGGAAACAGTTCAAACTCTCGAATCATCTTTGGTTAATGATAACAACCAATTCTCAAAAATAAACGATGCGGATGATCATTCTAGTAGTCCTCAAGGAACGGTGTCCGAGTACGATTCAGTTTCTAATAATGGAAGCTGTTCTGGTGAATCGGAAGATACTAAAGAGAAAGCTGCAAACTCCACTATGCGTTTGGATATTATACCTGGTTGTGATAACGACAGAAGGGATAAGATCCGACTGAAGAATGAGAGAAAGCACCAGAGACAGAGAGAAAGGAGAGCTCATGAGTTGCATGACCGATGCGGCGCTTATCTAATGTCGAGGAAGCTAGAAAACCTTGTGCAGAAGTTAGTGGCGATGGGTTTCTCTTCGGAGCGGGCAACGTTGGCTTTGAAGTTAAATGACGGAAAATTAGAAGAATCAATATCTTGGCTGTTTGAAGGAAGCGAAGCAAAAGATACTACCAACCATGTAAGCGAACGTACTTTAAAAATTGACATAAGTGAAGAGCTTGAACAAATTTATAATATGGAAGTGAAATACAATTGTTCAAAGCAAGAAGTCGAGAGAGTAGTTGTTGCCTGTGAAGGCGATCTTCAAAAGGCGGAAATTTCATTAAAATCTCAGAAGCAAGAATCTCCTATGAACCAGTCAGAAAATTCTGCTCAAAATAATAATTTGATGCGAACTCATGGATTGCAACCAGCTTTAGCTTCGATACAGCAGAGAGGGAATGAAAGTGATTTCAACTATTACAATGTTGGTGGTGCTGATTCCATGTTTCAAGATATTGAAAATAGGAATCCGCATTCTTTACACATGAATCATCAAAATGAATTGACACAGAAAAGATGGGGTGGAAGTGTTACAGCATCAAATCCTTCTTCTATGTTACCTATGTCTCAATCCATGCAAGCAATGTCGCCGTTTGTTAAAATGGAGGCACAACCAAGTGCCTTTAGGAACGAAGGAAGAATGATTCATCAAGGAGTAGGAAGGGAGCCGGTAGCCATGATGCAGCATTCCCAGTTTGCCGATGCCAAACAGAATTATCTAAGTTCTATGAATTCCATGCCTTCAGGAACATCTGGTTGGTATGTAAATGGCGCCCCGGCATACGAAAATACAAGGTATGAAAATACAAGGTCGAACGGGAATTTACTACTACAAAATCATGGCATGGGAACTGTCGGTGCAGATCGCTTGCAGCAACTATGTCAAGCTCCTTATAAAGAGTATTCCCATGTATTTGGACCGTTAGATTCCTCAATCTCATCAGGTGGAATGGGAGGTTTTTATAAACCAATGGTTGCATCGTCACCTTCACCCACAATGCCTTCCCACTCTCAACATCACGGATCGTGGAACACCGCCGCATCTTCACCTGGACTTACAGTTCCACCTTCCCTTGGTTTATTCTGTGGTCATCAAAACCCATCAGCCAGATCATTCAACTCACATTCGCACGTCGATTGGAATACCGGGGGCTTGGTGCAAGAGTTCGACTACAACAATATAGATTGGAGTTTGGATTGCCCATCGTCATCCCGATCAGGTGATGTTTGGCTAGGGTTCTCATCGTTGTTGAGAAACAACACCGGGAATCGGATTGCCAGTTCTTACATGGCTGGATCGCGAAACGTTGGCACAACCAGGGAAACTTCGTCGTCTGCTGGCTTGCGAGATTGGACCTCACCTTTTGCTGGGAAAGACATATTCAGTGTTCCAAGGAAGTTTGTTACTTTTCCTCCTATGTAGTTATGGGAAAATAAGCGGATGTTCTTGATATGGTTGTTTCTGGTTTTTCCAGTAAAATTCATCTTCTGATTTGTGGTTTATAATTGTTTTTTTCCATTTACTCGTCATACTTTTCTTATCTTTACTAGCGCATCTGTTTTAATAGAAGTGCTTTTCTAGTACTGATTGTGCATCATGCATGTGAGATGTCTTGAATCCATCAATATTATATTGATGGCATCCTAAGTAAGAAGTTTGGTTGGTGAGGTGTGGGACACCAAAAGAGTTATAAATAGCAAGTTTCAAACCTTAAAAACTAATATAACCATTAATTGAAGATAATAATGATAAATAGTGGAACTGACTCCATTGCATTCTTAAGCAGCTAACAAACAATGATTTTTCGTTAGGTAAATTGAGTTGATAACGGTACAAGGATCGTACATTAGATGCAGGGATATCCATAACTCTACAAGGACATCAGATGCAGGGGTATCCTTGACATCTCACTTAGGACATGAGATACAGGGGTATTTGCGACATCTCACTTCTTTACCTTTAAAATGAGGAATATTTAAGCATGAAACTTAGCTAGCTAATGATGGCTCCAAAAATTACCAAAGCCAACCTCTTGAGCCAGAACAAACTACACAAATTCAATAATGATTACTCTTATATCCAAATTGATTACACATACACACACAAAAATTTACACCATTGAATTCTACAATTTAAAACACCATAACATATTTGGGTTGAAAAGCTTTTTAATTCAAAAACTCACACATGCCAACCAAACCAAATTGTTTGTTTATTAAGGAGTGTGTTAGACATAGAGACCTCTAATCTTCACAATTCGAGGTGTGTGTTCATATCATGCAATGTAGTTTTTGATTCCTCTTGGTTTACAACCTGAAGGGTCCTAGTGCAGAAGTACCATCTAACCCTTTCCCATTGTGGTGTAAAACCAAGTCCTTCACTGATGTTTCCTTGTAAACCGGAGGATTATCTGGTGTCAGCAACTCTCTTATAGGTCCATATATTCTTGAATTCTCAGGGGGAAGATGTTGCCTGAAAAAGCTTGCTACCGAAACTCTTGGTCCAATTTTGTGCGCCAGAACTCTATGTTTAACGCTAAGAAACTTATCATTTGTGATTAGCTGCAAAAGATAAATTGTTTAGACATCAAAGGAAAATTCGAATAAGCTTCTAATAGTATATAGATTACATTCTACCTGCATCATGTTGCCGAGGTTAACGACCAAGGCGCCAGGAACCGGTGTGACATCAACCCACTGATTTTGGTGGAAAACTTGGAGGCCACCAAGCTGATCTTGTAAGAGAACAGTGATGAAGCTACTGTCATAATGTGAACTGGCACCAAAAGTCAATTCTGGCTGAGGGCAAGGTGGAGAGTAATGGGAAAGTAGGAAAAGTCCTTCTGCACAATCAATGTCCTTGAGGTAATTGTAATTGAGGCCTAATGCTTCAGAAAGCAATTCGAACAGATTTGTTCCAACTTTCTTAACATACTCACAGTACTCAATTGTTATATCTCTGCAAACTGTAGGAAGTTTGTGAGGATCAAGAGGGTGAGGGGCCATAACACAAGAAAGAGTATCTCTCCATTTAAGAGCTGGAGTAACATAAAGATCAAAATTAGTGTTATAATAAACCCCTTTGGTAACATCACGAGAATAAAACTCTTTCTTGATTTCAGTGTCTTGTTCATGAAATCTAAGCACCCCATCAAGCATATCATCCAAAACAGTGCCTGGAATTCCATGGTTGACAATTTGAAAGTTTTGATGCATGTTGGACGTGTCACTTGAAGTTTTGATTTCTTCATTCCTAAGCATTGGTTGGTGCCTATAAATATGGCAGTAGCATGAATGGCTAGAAAACACATAATCACACAATTATCACCATAACATGTAGTGTTGAGTGATTAGTTTTGGTAAAGAATTCTTGTTTCATTTTGAGAGTTTTACTAGAAAAAATATTGTCTTTAATCCTCATTATTATAAAAAGATTTATTGTACTTTTTTTTACACGGTGGAATTTTGCTCGTGAGCGTATGTGGTATTTTACCTCTCGCATTGAAGTGGTTTTTCGCCGTGTGTTCATTTTCTTGCTATTCTACTTGCTTTTCCTTAATTCTCAATTGTTTCAATCCCGTTTTTCCGCATGCTAGTACCCTTACATACTTCATAAAACAACTAGTACTATATCATTTAATTTTAGAAATATTTTATTAATTGTAAGATTTTTTTACTAAAAAATAAATATTTTTAAGTTATATTATTACCTATAGTGAAAAGAAAAATCTTAAATATTTTTTAAAATATTTCTGAAAATTAAAAATATATTTTCGATACACACTTACATATAAATAATTCATTCGTTTTTGAAATTCGTTCTATTTTTATGACAAAATTTATTTCAAAAATATACTTTTGAAAATTCCTGAAAATGTATTTTTGATTATGATATGAATGATAATAGAACAATGGAAAGACATATGCAGAATTCAGAATTCAGTACTCATTAGGATTAATAACCCAAAGTCATATTAGATTGTTAAACATTTTTTGAGGTTTTCAAATGCTAGCCGTTTTACTTAAATGTATTAATATCTTATTAACTGATTCCTTGTCGTTGTGTCTATATTCTATACCAGATTAATTTTTCTATCTAACTATTGTCATAACATACTGTGACACCTTATTTATATCATAAACCAGAAATATATTTTTGATAATTTCCGAAAATGTATTTTCAGAATAAATTTTTTCGTAAAACGAATAAATGTGTCGCACCAGAAATATATCTATGATTTTTAGGAATATTTTTGGAATTTCGCATGATGCATTAGAAAAACATAGGGTGAAAAAAATCCTCAAAATTTAATTATAATTTTCCAAGCTCACTCAAAATCCACGACGAGCGGTCCAATAACGAGCATCAAGCAGAAAAGTGCACAGAATAAGTGGATCCTCACTTTAGCCAAATAGCACTATAAGCTTGATTCACCATGCCTGAACTATATAACACCACATCATCCCATATTTTAGATTTTCTAGTAGAAAAGTGGAGTCCTCTGTTAGACCTTAAGAATTACTAGGAACTAAAAATGAATGTGGTTGTTCTATTATGCCAAGTAGCAGTTACATGCATATGAGCGACCATTATAAATGATATCAGCAGTTATAGAGCTTAAGAGCAGTCATTAATTAGTATTACTAGAGTAACAATTATTATTATTAGGAATAATTACAAAACTTAGGTAGAATAAATATGAAAACAAAACCATGATATGAGCATTCAGAAAATTAGAAGAGGTTATATTTGGGAGGGAGAGACCAAACTCTCGAATTCTTGGAAGGGAGAGAACTAAAACTCTCGAATTTCTTGGAAACTCATTGTAATTACTATTAAAATTTATCGTTTGGTATCAATTTCTATCAATTGGTATCAGAGAAGTTTCCTTCCCAGACTGTTTATGGTATCTACACGAGGGAAAATGGAGGCCAGTCTGAAAGTAACATTTGACCTTTTTGATGAAGTGTTGAAAGAAATTAGAGATCGGAGAAGAAAACTTAAAGATTTACGACTAGAAATTCATATCTTTGAAGGAAGGGATGCTGTTGGATGGATGATCAAAGTTGAAAAATATTTTAATGCAGGAGGCATATGTAAAGAAGAAGATCAAATACCAAGAGTTGCGCAGTTGGTGAGTGGTAAAGTCGTCACATGGTATCAATTATGGGTTTTGGCCAATCCAAGTGCCACTTTGAGAAATTTTAAAGAGGCAATTCTCATGAAATTTGGGCCAGAAATTGATTTAGTAGAGAATCAGCAATGGAAATGAGAGAAATGAGATTCAGTGATGAACCAAATAAATGGCCACCACCACAATGGTTCTGCCAACAGCCGTTGTTGCCGAAACCTCAAAACGTCGGGTATCACATGGTAATTGTTGTTGTTCCTAAGATAAACTCTAGGAAAGAGAAAGTTCAACTATCAGTTGTCATCCCAACAATCAATCATGAGAAAATTGATGGTAGTGAGCAAATTTAGTCTAGGAGAAAATTTTCATATTTCATGTACAACTCAATCCTTCTATTTTAAGTTATGAGATCAGAAATGATACATTTTTCCTACCATGTATTTCTTTCACCTTAAGGACAAGGTGATAGTTTAGGGGGGAGTATTGTTAGACCTTAAGAATTACTAGGAGCTAAAAATTAATGTGGCTGTTCTATTCTATCAAGTAGCAGTTACATGAATATGAACAACCATTATAAATGATATCAGCAGTTATAGAGCCTAAAAATAACCATTAATTAGTATTACTAGAGTAACAATTATTATTATTAGGAACAATTACGAAACTTAGGCAGAATAAATATGAAAACAAAACCATGATATGAACATCCAGAAAATTAGAAGAGGATATATTTGGGAGGGGGAGACCAAGCTCTCGAATTCTTGGAAGAGAGAGAACCAAGACCTTCGAATTTTTTGGAAACTCATTGTAATTACTATTAAAATTTATCGTTTGGTATCGGTTTCTATCATCCTCTGTGGGAATCGACTGCCGATTAATTCCAATCTTCCACGAAAAAACCATTGTCTCTTCAGCGAAGATTCAGATCACTGAGATATTTTTCTAATATCTCTCTCAAACAAATTAGATATTGAGCTCGGAAAACTATGGTGACATAAAAAATTACTTGATTTTCCTATCAATGTCATGTTGGTGTTGCAGCTGCTGAAGGCAACAAAGCTCTACTTCCTCCTCCGATAAAAGATGATCTAAATCTAATAACCTTTTTGTTCATTCCTACACAACAAGAATTTTTCCTTCCGAAAGTTAGTCAGAGAACGTTCCAAGCTCTCTTGTTTTTCTAACCACGCAACAGCCTTGCCTAGCCCAACCTTTGAAGCAACCTCCGTCACAATTGTTAATGCTTGGACAAGAGATGCTGCTAAGTTTTCAGCAACTGCAAGCTAACCTATGCATGCAAGGAGCTACAAATCTACTAAGCAGTGTCTATAACCTTGCGCAGCAGCAAAACTCTCAATTTTTGGCAGACAAGATACTTAGGATTGAGGAGAACTTGGAGTGCACCCTCCAAGAGCTAACATTGTGCGCGAGGCAACTTCATGCAATAACCAAGGAGTCATACCATGCCGACTCTCATCGATGCAACTTCGCCACACATGGAAATCCAGAGATCACCAGGTCATAACTGAGATAGATGGCATCAGATTTCTTCACCTGACTCCGGAGGGAGAAGTGGAAGCCACACTCAGTCAAAAGTGCATTGTCCTCTTCACTCGCCAGCACATCACTTCTGGGGAGGAGAAAGGCACGACGCAGATGCACTCGTTTATGAACGGAAGAAGAACCCATTTCCCTGAGCATTCTTGATAGTAGGATGTCGAGGTCCGCTAAGAAGCCTTCAAAGTTAGAAAATTACGATGGTACAAGGGATCCAGACAAACACATTAGACATGTGGACAACATATTATATTATTACCACACCCAAGAGGCTATCAAATGCAAGCTCTTTGCATTAGGGAGATTCTATGACATGGTTTAAAACTCTCTCAGACATAAGTAAACATTTATAGTATGAACTATGGGACGCTTTCACTACTCATATCGGTAATCCACCATTATATCCGTACTAACTGAGATCACACATAAGAAGTCCTTACGGGAGTACATAGATCGGTTTACAAAGGTAGTAGTAGAAGTAAGAGATACACATAATGGATTAAAGTGTTGGATATTCAAGAAGGTGATGGGATCAGATTACATGTTTCGAAAAAAGTTAGGGCGGGAAGGATTTTGTAGCTTAAGTGATGTGTTGAATAAGGAAAACACTGTATAAACTATTAGAAAGAGTTTTCAGTCGAAGAGGGAGAGAAAAGCCACATATACGATCGAGTGTTATAGAGACGCCGAAGACCGAAGATCCGTGTCTGATTCTCTGCATACACTCATTTGAACACGTCAAGCAAGAAAATTTGACGAAAATTCACAAACAGAGACTTCAAAGAAGCCGAGATCAAAAACCCTTATTTAATTAGAGAGTCATCCAAGACTGATAAGTTAAAATACAGTCACTTTCACAAAAGTCATGACCACGACACTAATGAATGCATCCATCTGAAAGATGCGATTGAAGAACTGATAAAAAAAAGAAGGAAAACTCACCAGATATACCCGTGAAGGGGGTCGAAGAGATGACCAAGATCAAAAGTGTGAATACAAATGGCGGGAGGAATCGCCAAGGAAGAAACAATCCCCTCTCCTGCGGAAGGCATTCCCCAAGAAAACTATCGAGGCTCTGAGTGGAGCTAATGAGAGGAAAGATATTACCATTGAGGAAGAGGAAAATCAATAAGGGAAACATCGATATATCGCTTATATTATTGGAGGCCTTCCAATGGGACTGTGAAAAGGAGAATCATTGTGTTAATGGAAATCAACGAGAAGAAAGAAACAACTCCCGACGAGAAGCTGAAAAGATCTATCTTCAGATTCTGGGAAATTGAAAAGGTAGGCGGAATCCAAAATGAGATTTTCCCCTTGATAGTAATGACAACCACAACTAACTTTAACGTATCCAAGATCCTCATTGATGAGGGAATCTCGTGCGACATTATGTACGCGGAGATTTATGAAAAGCTTGGGCTAAGAAGGGAGAAACTATAGTCGTACGAGGGATCCGACCTACAAGTCTTTAACGTGGAGGTATATTGAGCTGACGGTTACCATAGGATAAGGGACGGACAACAAGATGACCGACCTACGATTCCTAGTAACTAAATATTTTTAGTTACATTACCTATAGTAAAAAGAAAAATCTTAAATATTTTCTAAAATATTTCTGAAAATCGGAAATATATTTTCTATACACACTTACATATAAATAATTCATTCGTTTTTGAGATTCGTCCTATTTTTTTAACAAATTTTATTTCAAAAATATACTTTCGAAAATTACTGAAAATGTACTTTCGATTATGATATGAATGATAATAGAACAATGGAAAAACATAGGCAGAATTTAGTATTTATTATGATTAATAACCCAAAGTTATATTTGATTCTTAAACATTTTTTGAGGTTTTCAAATGTTGACCGTTTTACTTAAATGTATTAATATCTTATTAACTGATTCTCCGTCGTTGTGTCAATATTCTATTCTAGATTAATTTTTCTAACTAACTATTGTCATAACATACCGTGACACCTTATTTATATCATAAACTGGAAGTATATTATTGAGAATTTTCGAAAATATATTTTTAAAATAAATTTTGTCGTAAAACAAATAAATTATGTGTGTAAGTGCGCATCAGAAATATATTTTCGATTTTTAGAAATATTTTTAGAATTTTGCGTGATGCTTTAGAAAAACATAGAGTGAAAAAAAAATCCTCAAAATTTAATTATAATTTTCAAGCTCACTTAAGACCCACGACGAGCGGTCCAATTACGAGCACCAAGCAGAAAAGTGCATAGAATAAGTGCATCCTCACTTTAGCCAAATAACACTAGAAGCTTGATTCACCATGCCTATATAACACCACATCATCCCATATTTCAGATTTTCTAGTAGAAAAGTGGAGTCCTCTGTTAGACCTTAAGAATTACTAAGAACTAAAAATGAATGTGGTTGTTCTATTATGCCAAGTAGCAGTTACATGCATATGAGCAGTCATTATAAATGATATCAACAATTATAGAGCCTAAGAGCAGTCATTAATTAGTATTACTAGAGTAATAATTATTATTATTAGAAACAGTTACAAAACTTAGGTAGAATAAATATGAAATCAGAACCATGATATGAGCATCCAGAACATTAGAAGAGGTTATATTTGGGAGGGAGAGACCAAGCTCTCGAATTTTTGGAAGGGAGAGAATCAAGACTCTCGAATTTCTTGGAAACTCATTGTAATTACTATTAAGATTTATCGTTTGGTATAAGTTTCTATCAATTGGTATTAGAGAAGTTTCCTTCCCAGACCGTTTATGGTATCTACGCGAGGAAAAATGGAGGCCAGACTGAAAGTAACATTTGACATTTTTGATGAAGTGTTGAAAGAAATTAAAGATTGGAGAAGAAAACTCAAAGATTTACAACTGGAAATTCATATCTTTGAAGGAAGAGATGTTGTTGGATGGATGATCAAAGTTGAAAAATATTTTAATGCAGGAGGCGTATGTAAAGAAGAAGATCAAATACCAAGAGTTGCGCAGTGGATGAGTGGTAAAGTCGTCACATGGTACCAATTATGGGTTTTGGCCAATCCAAGTGCCACTTTGAGAATTTTTAAAGAGGCAATTCTCATGAAATTTGGGCCAGAAATTGATTTAGTAGATAATCAATCAACGGAAATGAGAGAAATGAGATTCAATGATGAACCAAATAAACGCCCACCGCCACAATGGTTCTACCAACAGCCGTTGTTGCCGAAACCTCAAAACGCCGGGTATCACATGGTGATTATTGTTGTTCCTAAGATAAAGTATAGGAAAGAGAAAGTTCCACTTTCACAAGAGAGTCATCCAAGACTGATAAGTTAAAATACAGTCACTTTCATAAAAGTTATGACCACGACACTAATGAATGCATCCATCTGAAGGATGCGATTGAATAACTGATAAAAAAAGGAAAACTCACCAGATATATCCATGAAGGGGGTCGAAGAGATGACCAAGATCGAAAGTGTGAATATAAATGGCGGGAGGAATCGCCAAGGAAGAAACAATCCCCTCTTCTGGAGAAGGTGTTCCCCATGAAAACTATTGAGGCTCTGAGTAGAGCTAATGAGAGGAAAGATAGTATCATTGAGGAAGAGGAAGATCAATAAGAGAAACATCAATATATCGCTTCTATTATTGGAGACCTTCCAATGGAACTGTGAAAAGGAGAATCATTGTGTTAATGGAAATCAACAAGAAGAAAGAAACAACTCCCGACAAGAAACTGAAAAGATCTATCCTCAGATTCTTGAATATTGAAAAGCTAGGCGGAATCCAAAATGAAAATTTTCTTTTGGTAGTAACGACAACCACAATTAACTTTAACGTATCCAAGATCCTCATTGATAAGGGAATCTCGTGCGACATTATGTACGCAGAAATTTATGAAAAGCTTGGACTAAGAAGGGAGAAACTATGGTCATATGACGGATCCAACCTACAAACCTTTAACATGGAGGTATATTGAGCTGATGGTTACCATAGAATAAGGGACGAACAACGAGATGACCGACCTACAATTCCTAATAACTAAATTTAGTGTAATTAATGTGTACTATATTTTATACTATTTTACAATTATTCCATCCATTCTTAAAATATAATTACTATAAAAGAAAAAATGTCCATTTTTAAAAGATCATCTTTAAAATTTCAACTACATTAATTATTTATTTATGTATATTTTAGAACTCTTACTTACTTCTTAACCAACTTAGTTTACACCCAATGTTGTTTGAAATTGAAAATAAGGTTAATACATGAAAACCAAAATATCACACTCATAAATCCACAATGGAAGAGTTTCAAAAACAAGACATGCTTGCATCTTTCACTTACACACATTTCAACCAAACTTTCATTCCTATCAGCTAATTATTCATTGAATCCTCTTAGTTTACAGCCTGAAGTGATCTAGTGCAGAATTACCATCTAGCCCTTTCCCATAGTAGTGTGAGACCAAATCCTTCACTGATGTTTCCTTGTAAATTGGAGGATTCTCTGGTGTAAGCAACTCACTTATAGGTCCATATACTTTTAAATTCTCAGGTGGAAGATGCTGCCTGATAAAGCATGCTACTGAAACTCTTGGTCCAATTTTTTGTGCCATCACTCTGTGTTTAACGCTCAGAAACTTGTCGTTTGTGATTAGCTGCAAAAGATAGTGTTTAGACATTGATGGACAATAAGTGATTTTTTCTTCTAAAGAGTTGAAAGCTTCTTTCATGAAATATAAGAGTACAAATGAAATATTTTAGTAGAAATGGAATTGCATCCGTACTAGTAGAAATAATTTTACCTGCAATAAGTCACCGAGATTAATGACCAATGCACCGGGAATTGGTGTGACATCAACCCACTGATTTTCATGGAAAACTTGGAGGCCGCCAAGTTGATCTTGAAGAAGAACAGTGAGGAAGCTACTGTCAGAATGAGCACTTGTGCCAAAAGTGAACTCAGGCTCAAGGCAAGGTGGGTAATAATGAGACATTAGAAATATTCCTTCCGCACAATCTATGTCCTTGAGGTAACTGGAATTGAGGCCTAATGCTTCAGAAAGTAATTCAAACAGAATTGTTTCCACTTTCTTAACATACTCCGAGTATTTAACTGTTATATCTCTGCAAGAAGCCAAGAAATGAAGTTAGTAATAGCTAAACTTTAACCTACAAATTCCAATCAAGATCGAACAACCCGAGGAGTCAAAACCCGATTGTATCAACAACAAAACAATGGCTTAGACATAACAGTATTTGTATCATTCAATAAACTTTACACTTGGAAATTTGAATCCAAATAGTTTAAGTATCAAATTAAATATTTGACAGCAATGCTATTTCGTAGTTTAGATAACTCAAGTGCTTTAAGCAGGTGAACCATTAGTTATGACCAGAATAAAAGACTCTTAACTGTATGCACCTTTCAATTGATTATGATAATTAATAAATGTATAAATATACCTGCAAACTGTAGGCAGTTTGTGAGGATCAAGAGGCTGAGGACCCATAACACAAGATAGAGTATCCCTCCAATTAACAGCTGGACTAACATAGAGATCAAAATTAGTATTATAATAAACCCTTTTGGTAATATCACGAGAATAAAACTCTTTCTTGATTTCAGTATCTTGTTCATGAAATCTAAGCACCCCATCAAGCATATCATCCAAAACAGTGGTTGGAATTCCATGGTTGACTATTTGAAAGAATCCCCAATTCTCACTTGCATACTTTACTTTCTCAATAATTTCTAAACGTGAAATTGAACTTGTTGGGTTTGTAAAGAGAGGTCCAAAGTCAATGAGTGGAATACTGAGATTGTTGGAAGTGGTTTCTTCATGAATCTTATCATCATGAATGAATATTTTAGGGAGCTTGGATAAACCAGCATCTACAAGTCCCTTTACACCTGCTTTTGATTCATCAAGAGCCTTCAATTCTTTGTATCTATGTTCATGATCTTCTTTGTTTTGTTCTAGATTTGTGTTCGCCATGTTTTTGTTTCTTCACTCGTTCTTTAACACAACAACTTAACAAATAAGATATTTATCTCTCACATTTTAAATAAGTCAAAAAATGTTACTATAAGAAATTGAGTTTGTGGAGTATATTAAATCCTTCTTCGATAAGGTTGCTATGCATATGGCACCTACAATCTTTGACTACCTTCAAGCATTACACCTCACCTCCTACTTGATGCATGTTGGACGTGTCACTTGAAGTTTTGATTTCTTTCATTTCTAAGCATTGGTTAGTGCTTATAAATATGGCAGTAGCATGAATGGCTAGAAAAACACATAATCACACAATTATCACCCTAACATGTGTCGGTGATTTTAGTATCACCAATGTATTTTAGTAGTAACGTGATTTACTAAAGGCCGATGCAATTATGCGTTAAGTTTGGAAACGAGTTAGGGAAGTGCGGAGTGCACGCTCGTCGAGCCAATGTATAATTGAATATGAATAATTGAAACGGGGTTCCAAGGGGCGAAGCCCCTGGCGGGGTACGGGGCAGCGTCCCGTTGGGGTTCCAAGGGGCGAAACCCCGTTCGAAAATTTTGAATCTTTTTCTCCAACCGACATAACCGTTTTTCGGAATAGGTGTGTCTTTTCGGTTTCAGTTATTGATCTCCTATATAAGGAGTCATTTGGCCTCAGTTTCAAATACGAAAAACCGACACTTTCTCTCTACATTTGTAATCAGTTTCTTTTGCCAGAAACAGATTGTTCTTCGAGAATTATCCCCACAAAGATTTCGTGAACCCAGGCAAGAATAGGGTCAAAATACTTTGTTCGGAAAGTGTACGAACACGATTCTTCGAAGTTATCCAGGATTATCATACCCAAATCTCTAACAACATGTAGTGTTGAGTGATTAGTTTTGGTAAAGAATTCTTGTTTCACTTTGAGAGTTTTATTAGAAAAAAATATTGTCTTTAATCCTCATTACTATAAAAAATTTATTTTACTCTTTTTTTTCACAGTGGAATTTTGCTCATGAGCATATGTGGTATTTTACCTCTCGTATTAAAGTGATTTTACATAATTTCAAAAATGAATAAATTATGTGTGTGGGTGCGCATCAGAAATATCATTTTGATTTTTAAAGATATTTTTAAAGTTTCGCATGATGCATTAGAAAAATATAGGGTGGAAAAAGAAATCCTCAAAATTTAATTTTATAATTTTCCAAGTCTACTCAAGGTTTACGACGAGCGGTCCAATAACAAGCACCAAACAGAAAAGTGCATAGAATAAGTGGATCCTCACTTTAGCCAAATGACACTAGAAGCTTGATTCACCATACCTAAAATGTATAACACCACATCATCCCATATTTTAGGTTTTCGAGTCAAAGTGGAGTCCTATGTTAGACCTGAAGAATTACTGGGAGCTAAAAATGAATGTGGCTGTTCTATTATGTCAAATAGTAGTTACATGCATCAGCAATTATAGAGCCTAAGAGCAGTCATTAATTAGTATTACTAGATGTTTATCTTTGGATTTGATAAACAATACTGGTTTCTTGAAAACAAATTTACGTGCGAGATCGACTATAGAATCTCGAAGCAATGCTTCATTTCGCACGTGTAATCAAAGTGTTTTCAAAAAGGATGCATTCGACTGGGAGCCAAACGTTTTAAATTGTAAAAGATAATGACAAAAAGATAAAGTAAAGGAGACAAAAAACGTTTTAAGTTGTAAAAGATGACATAATAATATTAAAGAAAATTATAAAATAGGTTGGTTCAAACATACATTGTCTTTGCGTGACTCATTTCGCTCATCCGTTTGATTACTTTGAATAACTAGCGTGCAAAAATATGAAAAATTTGACATTTACAAAAGTACACTAAGTGAGATTGTTGGAAGTGGTTTCTTCATGAATCTTATCATCATGAATGAATATTTTAGGGAGCTTACACATGCTTTAGATTCATCAAGAGCCTTCAATTCTTTGTATCTATGTTCATGATCTTCTTTGTTTTCTTCTAGATTTGTGCTCGCCATGTTTTTTTTACCACTTGACCACAACTTATCATATGATACATTTGTCTCTAGCCTTATGAGAAAATAAGTCCACTCTCACATCTTATATAAGCCAAAAAAATATTTTCTCTTGAAATGGTCGTGCATCTATGTCTACAACTTAACGAGCCTAACAAACATAACAAACTACCAATCTATTAATTTTATTTTCATAAATAATATTCAAATTACTTAAACATTAGCTTATTTATATCATTTTTCTATTTTATTATCTATAATTTTAGTATGGTATTAAAGTTTGTTTCGACTTTCAAGGGACGTCTCATTTGTTTATCATTTTGATTATTGGTTTTATAGAAGAAAAAAAATCTTTATGTTGAATTGTAAAAATTGTTTGTGACATGTCGTCTCCCCTTGTGTATTTGTAGATCATGATTTGTATATGCTTTTGATTATATTGGTTCTCTCTCTCTCTCTCTCTCTCTCTCTCTCTCTCTCTCTCTCTCTCTCTCTCTCTCTCTCTCTCTCTCTCTCTCTCTCTCTCTCTCTCTCTCTCTCTCTCTCTCTCTCTCTCTCTCTCTCTCTCTCTCTCTCTCTCTCTCTCTCTCTCTCTCTCTCTCTCTCTCTACATGTGTGTGTATTGTGATTTGAATTTTTTATTTTGTTTGGATTTGTTTGGTTGATATGCTTTCGTCCAGTTTGGTTCTTTTGTCGGATAACCCTTAAATTTCGGTAATACTCCTTTTTCTATTGGTTCTTTTGTATGACTGTGCATTTTTCTATTGGCTCTTTTGTTTGATTACTTCTCTATATTGGTTCTTCCTTTTTTTTTATTCTCTACATGAATTATTCTGTTTGATTACTTCTTTATATTGGTTCTTCTTTTTGTTTGCTTCTCTATATCGATTCTTCTATTTGATTGTTTCACATGGTATTTTCGTTTGCATGTTTTTTTCTCTATCAATTTTTTATTTGGTAGTTTCTTTTTATGAGTGGGAAGTGAACTTTTCCAAAAAAAACCTAGTTTCAAAGAGCCTCTATAAATACTCTTTACCCCCCCCCCAAAGGGAGGAGGACAAATCATTATTTACACCCAAAAGAGCATAACACTAATTAAGGTTACAAGACACGATTGATCGTAACCATATGCTTGCTTCCAAGCATGACCGATCATTTGCATAGCCTCTTATCTCACCTGAGAAGAACTCTTAAACAACCTCAAAACACCACTGTGCATGACTTCTCGCAGCCGAGGACAAGCCATAACCACCATATCGTGTTATAAATCTACTATGTCCTATGAGTCTCCCCGCCCTTAAAGGGAAAACACACACTAGTACTTTATGACCAGTACAATAGTGTCCACCATGGCCCCCCGGTAAATCTAACCTAAGCCACATCTTCACTCCAACCCGTTCATCTTCCTTTTGTAGATGTCTGACAAGACACTATGTTTTGGTACAAACGCCATTGTCAGAGGTATCTTCGGGAGAAGCCCTACAGAGCCACCTGAAGAAAATACGCAAGGTGCATGTTTGCAACAAACGTCATACCCATTGGCTTTCTCAGAAACACCCTAGGGAAAATAGGGGCTAACATCATTTCTCTGGAGAGGACGCCCTCAGCATCAACCCTCACGATGATGACCCCTTAGTGATCATGGTACAATATAGCAACTGTGATATCATTCGCGTTTTGATAGACACTAGTAGCTTCATCGATGTCCTATTTTGGGATGTCTTCTGAAAACTACAAATGGACTCGAATGACATAAAAAGGTTCAATGGTTCTTTGATCAGATTATCAGGTGAGTGAGTGTAAATAGTGGGCCACGTGACCCTAAAAACCACATGTGGCGAAGGAGCAAACACCAAGGCGATTGACGTCAGCTACCTCATAGTAGACTCCATGTCACCATATAATATCATCCTGGGGCGTCTGACTATCAACTCCCTACGGGAATTCGTATCCACCATGTATTTGACATTGAAATACCTGTTCCTCGATGGGTGAGTCTGTACAATTCAAGTGGACCAACAAGCATCTCGTGAATTCTACCTGTGCAGCATGGAGACAACCAAAGCATAGTCGCCTTTGTTGATTTCCCTCCTTCCGAAGTTCCAAATACTAACTTCGAGGGTTGGGACCCCATATTGGACGTAGAGATGTAAAGGTTCACACCCACAAAAGATTAGAAGGAAGTCCAAGTAGGTCCTCACACCCATCAAGTCACGAAGATAGGTACTTCCTTGTCTACAAAGGAGGAACGAGAACTTGTCAACCAACTTATAAAGAACATACACAAAATTTGTGACTCGTCGCTTTACCTTCCATCCCTCCACCAAGCAAGTAGCATAGAGTAAGCGAAAATTAGATGAGGAGAAGAGGGTCTCCATTAGCGAAGAAGTAAAAAAACTACCTAACATTGGATTCATCACTGAAAGAAACTATTCCATCTGGATGGCCAACTTGGTTTTGGTACGAAAGGCCAACAACAAATGGCACATGTGTGTAGATTTTACATATCTAAACGCCGCCTGCCCCAAAGACCTGTATCCGTTACCAGACATTGATTGCCTCATTGATGGATAATTAGGTTCTACATGTTAAGCTTCATAGACGACTATTCAATGTACACCCAGATTCAGATGGATCCCCTAGATGCGCCCAAAACAACCTTCATGTTAAATAATGGCAATTACTACTATAATATCATGCTTTTCAGCCTCAAGAATCCTGGCGCCACCTACCAGGTACTCATGGATGTTGTCTTCGCCCAACATATAGGATGAAACTTGGAGGTATAAGTTGATGATATGTATATCAAAACTGGGGAAGAGCACAACCACCCAGACAATCTAGAAGGCATTAACATCATTTAGGAGGTATGACATGTGCATAAACTCCGCCAAGTGCTCCTTCAGGGTTCAGGCAGTGAAATTTCTAAGTTTCATGCTAACAAGAAGGGTCATCGAGGCCAATCTAGATAAGTGTCAAGAAT